CTCTCTCTCTCTCTCTCTCTCTCTCTCTAAGTATAAATATTATAAGTATAATAATTATAAGTTCGTTAAATTTCCAATATAGTTGTATATTATAAATTGATAAATACACACTCTGTTCCTGTAAGACGTTTTATATTGTATTTTTAGTATAAAAACACGAAATTGCACAAATGAAACTATATTTCTAACCAAAAACGCGATAGTCTGAACTGCCATTATAGTTAGTATACGAGAATAAATGCTTAGAGCAGCAGAGTTCGCTTTCACTATCAAAACATTTGATAGTATGAACCGAGATATTGTTGCAATAAACGAAACTCTTATCAGTAGCAGCATCAAAACTCAGTTAAGATAACCGACTGCAATTGTCTCAGCAATGGAAATCTTCCAGAATTTTTCTTTTCTTACAACCAAGTTTTCGTCTGGTTTCCAGAGAACAGAAAATTTCGGTTGCATAAACGGAATATTTTTTTCCGTGTGAACGTAAGAGGTAATCGTTACTTTATTTAATAAATAATCAATTTAAATTTATTTGAGTTGAAAGTGTATAAATTAACACTTTAATATTTAAGATGGTTCCTGCATAAACCGACCAAAAGTAAAAAAAATTGAAATTTAAGTATGTTGTAGTTGTAAATTTTATCTGTCAGTACGCGAAATTTCAGACACGGTCGCCGATAAAATAAAATAAAGAAAACATTAAAGTTGTATTTTTTAACATTCCAGTAAACACCAAGTAACAGTTACATAATATTGATATTGTGTAACTACTACTTGGTGTTCACTAGGATAGGGGTTATGGGCCGAACGCTCGCAGAAGCAATTACAATTAGAGGGTTAATATTGTATTATTTTATAGAAAAAAAGAGTAGATCTTAATAAAAAAACGAGATGAACATAATAAATGTCAAGGATTCAAATGTGCTATGAAGTATATGAGGTCACCGACCTCTGCAAGCAAGTACTTATTAGTAAAGTTAAAAGATACAATGTTTTGAGGAAATTTGACAGTTCTTTGAGACTTAAAAATATCACATGTTTTTAAATATTTTAAAATGTGCGTACATAATTTAGCATATCTATGCGTTTGATCAATAATGCATTAAGTGATATTTTTTTATGAAAAAAGTCATATGAATTTATAAAAATCAAAGGGGCCCCACCAAAGCACTCATACTAACCGCTCCTTTGTTCTACAGGAGCCACCTTAACTGATTATATTTTTATTTAAGGATGTATCTGAGATACAATCATTGACAAAAATCCCCCAAATTCGAAAAACTGGCATATCTACGCTAAACGTGCAGTAAACCTAGTGATAACTGATATAAATGATAACTAACATAATATATTTATTTTTAAAAAGTTATTTTTCACATTTTTCAGCACTTTATTAGGTTTATTTGCCATTTTACAACTTTTTACAATAAAACTTTTGGCAGTGAAAATGCCCAGAATGCAACCTTAGAACATCAAATTTCTTATTTATTTAACACCATTATTTAGCAGTGTAATACAGAAAAAGTAATTGGAATATAGTTAAAAAAGTAAATATGCATTATTTAAACAATAACTATAAATATTATTTGTTATTAATATTAATATTTGACCCTCGATGAAACGGGTTAAACGTGGCAACAGCGCGACATTAAGTTTATGGCTTCAAGGTTGATAGCAATGCACTTTTGACATTGCGAGCTAACTTCTGTTTAGTCCTGCATCGCAATGTCAAAAGCCACAAAAATGTATCGGTGGAAAGGAAAAATAATTAGCGAAAGTACGTATCGAAAGAGACTTACGCAACAAAGATGTGGATTTTTAAGAAGAAAAGTTCAAATTGTGCAAGAAGAAAAAACTGAGCCCACCATGGAGGAAAATGTGAGCGAGAAACCAGAGTTTATGTTGTTTATCAAAATTATTTAATTTTTATTCTTGTTCTCTAAATGAAAACAATACAGGTAAAACGAGACTTTACGACGTGACTACTGTATCGGTCAGGTTATTCGCTTGACACGTTCAGCTGATTGCGACGTTGCCGCACTTCTACAGTTCAGTAATTGACATATTACAGAAACCGCAAAATTGTCACGAATAATAATTAATTTCTCCTAAACCGTGTTGTGAAACCTAATCGAATTTTGCACAAAGTTCCAATAATCCATGGTCTATATGTATAAAAAAAAATTAAAATTTTGGTACTATTTTTTCTATACTTTATTACTCATTTCATTCAAGAAAATTGCGTTTCCCATAAGAACACGTGTAAAATCAGACATAATTGAAATAATAATTACTCTCTAACGATTTAGTAAATCTACTTAAAATTTTTTTCAGTATATTACACATAACAAAGGAAGTGTTTCCCGAAGTTTCATCAATTTGGTACTATTTTGAAATAGCTCAGATACATCCTTAATAAGCATTGGAAATAGTTTGTTTTATATGCGACGTTGCCATATTTCCACTTATGTGTCATCGTTTCCTGGTCGCCTTCACGGATTGTTTCATCGAAAAATCTAAATTTCTCTTGAACGTGTCTCAGTAAATTTATGTAACTTTTTATAAAAATATTTTTTAATATTTATTTTACTATTGCGAGTTTTTGTAACTTCTGTCTTACATACAAATATGTTAAATAAGAAGAAATTTGGAAAATTATAAGGTTATACGTTCTTGCATACTACTACTTCATAATTAAATATTTAGTAAACGATACGATAAAAATTATTAAAATTTCTGTTATACATAGTTTGATTATCTTTTGCATCATGTATATATTATAGGTTTATCTTTTATTTGGTCAAACTTTCGAACCTCCTTAACTTTGCCAGAAAAAAAGAGTGAGACTTCAAGTTACCTATATTCTAATAATCCTAACTTTTGCGAAAAAAATTTCGTAAATTATTCGTGATTCCGTAATACTATAAAATCAATGGAAAAAAATGCACGGAAAAATAGGCTTCGTCGCTAATAATTAAGAAATAAGCTGCGTCTCTAAATAGCACTGTTAACATAATAATTTAAAAAGACATTTACACACATATTTATATTTACTTACATTTGTACACACTGCGAGATACACAAGTAATGACATATATTTTGCCAAGTGCTCTGAATGAACTCTTTATTACAGCAATAGAATCTATATTGCCTGCGTTATATTTATTTCGTACATACATGTTGCAAGTCATAATAGGCACAGTCAATACGAATTGGCTATAATGACCTCAAGGACAAAGTAATCTGTGCAGTATAAAGGCATGCACGGCAAGCACAAACGGGAAAATATACAGAAATTTAAACAGGCATTGAATCACTACTAAGGCATTCATCAGTGCATTCGCATCAACTGGTGATCCATCGTTATTGTCGTCACCGACTTCGGCAATAGACGGAGGCGATTGGTAAATATGCAAAGCGAGACAAAGAAGCGAGAACAACGTGTTAAGGACAAAAGATAAGATACGTGATATTCACCTGGCCAGTATATCGAAACGCATTTCATATTATCGATCTCGACATCGTACATGCCGCCTCTGACTACAATTTTCTCAGCGGGCGGCAGGCCGTTCGTCCCGTCATTACTCTCGCTAATTAAACTCTGACGCTTCTGATAAATTTTCTCGATTCTCAAACTGTCGTACCCACAGAACTCGTTCCACCTCTTGTCAACGCCGTCTTTGTAAAACCACTGTACTTCCTCCGGGATCAAAGGCTCAGCATAAGCTTCACTCGCAATGTTAATTTCTACATTGTTCTTTGGACTGTCTTCCACTTGGACTGTCGCTTCATCATTACCTTTATATAAGACAGAGAGCAAATTGTCAAATACCTTACATCCTGCCAGTAATTTGCGAAATTAACGAATATGATACGTTAATATCATGAAATGAGAGAACATTAAGAAATAAAAAAGTATTAAATAAGACTAAAATTATTTGTACTTTTTGAACTGGTGACACTCATAAATAATAAAATATAAGCAATAATAATCTCTTGCTTTTAGAAAATAAGTAAAATACACAAATATGTATATATATAATAAATTATATAATAAATATATTTAAATATAGATATCTACGTAAATGCTTTTTACATGGTTTTTGCTCAAACACTTGCAGGAACATTTATTTCCAGGAAAGATACTGTTGCAATAAATCTAAAGTAAACTCGAATCTATATCTCGAAACGTGAATAAATTAGAAAGTTCAGGATCTAACGAACGGAATTCGCCCCGCGTACTCGATCGACTGTGCGACGTTAACACTTTGAGCTCTCAAAGATCTCCCGGTTTAAATCCCGTGAATACACGGTGTCCGTTCGCAATAAGCGAGTCAACAATGCAACAGTCGCCGGCGATAACGCCGCCGTTCTATACATTGTATAACAGTCGCTTCACGTGGAAAATCACCGCGGTGTCTTCTCGTACCTTCGCAAGACTCCTGTTCGACAAGCATCTCCATCGGCGTCTCACTGAACGGATCGACCTCGCACAGATGGGACATCCCGTTGAACCGTCCGCTGTCGAAGGAGCCTGGGTCTGTCGGGCACACTCGAGCTCACGAGCTCAGACAGCGATAAATTGACGTCGTCGTTGCGCGTGGGCCGCGCTCACGGTAATACGACAGACGCAACTCTTATCGTGGACTTGTCACCCTCGCGCTATCGTCTCTGCGTCATGTACGTACCGGCAGACATGAACTTTGTACGAGCGCAAAAGAGAGCGCGAGGCATGCCGAGTACAAAGAAGAAGGAAGAGCAAGAGAAGAGAGCAAACACACACACACAAACAGTGAGGAAGGCGATTCTCGCCTCTTCCGCGAATTATCGAGTTAGCGTCCAACGGTCATCTTTAAACGCGAGTCTCGGCTCGCGGCGGCCGCCTATCGAAACCCCTGGCGTTATCTCGCGCGAGTACGCGCGTTTACTCGGACTGTTCCGCCGCAACGCTACGCTAGGTACGCGACGCGACGGGACGCTACGCAATGCGATGCAACGCGACGCGACGCGACACGGTGCAGCGCAGCGCGACGCGACGCGACGATGACTGCAGGCGTCCTCTCCTCGACCGTCGCGTACCTGCACTACCTGCCTCACATCGCGCGCCGCGCGCGCGCCTCCGTCCTCCGAAACTTTTTCGGCCGGACTATTCTCGCTCGCCACGAATGACAGGCAAGCTGCGCGATCGCGACAGCGACCGCGGCCAGCTGATGCAATGCGTACGACGTGATGTAGTGTTGCCGCGCGTAGCGGCGTGCACGGTGACGTGCGGTGACGTTGTCCCTTTCCCGTATGCAGTATGGAACTGCGCACGCGCATCGTGACGACAGGTAGAGTCGCCGGGAATAAACCCAATAAACAAAAAGTCCTCTTAATGTGCTGTTTAAGATAACTTTTGAGAGATAAAAGGTGTCTTTCAAGATTTCCGAAATGTGGTCTTTTAGTGCAACTAAAAGATGTCCAATGTCCATCTCAAAAGTGATCTTATAGACATCCTAATGAGCACTTTTCAGTTTTATAACTTCTCTTGAAAGTTATCTAAAAGTCAACATAAACCCAGACAGCACACGGATATCCGAAAACCGTTCTATAAATATATATCCTTTACGGACATTGAGAATATCCATAAGTCATTTGTTTTATGTCCTCCAGACATACAAGAGATGTCTATGGTATATCCATTTATGAATTTGGTGGACGTCCCACACAGCACTAGATGTCCCATGGATATACATTTTAAGTCCCATTTACGTCCATACGTCCCGGGACTTAAATGGAACTTAAATAGGATATCCTTTTTTGATATAATAGGGATATCCTCATAATATATCCTACGGACATTCAGCGTACATCCAAGTTGAAATTTATTATCTTAAATTTTTAATATATTATTACGACGTTTATAAACATATTAATTTTTTTATTATTGAATCATTGTTACCTACTTTAAAGAAATCGAATATATTTCTTTTTACTAAAAATATTTTATCAATATTAAAGTTGTACATAAATTATATATAATAGAGTTTTTACCGGCGATATTATAAATCTTTATGTTGGAGAGAGAGAGAGGGAGGGAGGGAAAGAGAGAGAG